TATATATATATATAAATAATATGCATGTGCGTGTGCGTGTGTATGATTTGTGGGATTAGGATTTTAGTGTTTAATTATGTAATTTTGTAGAAATGGTGTTTGATTTGGCGTAAACTTAATTTTAGGCTTATAAATAAGTTTATGATGGACTAGGAACTAATTGAATTCACTTTAGAAAGTAAAGTTTTGTAATCACATGCCTATCAAGTATCATAGGAGTAATCTTTGTAGCCAAAAACACGCATTTTCATATTTGGGAATCGTCAGATCTACTGACCATGATTGTAATCAACACTGTTTAAGGTTGAAAAATGGTATAAGTGACTAAATAGTGTCTATCATGGACGTGACATAAGTATAATTCCAGATAATTGTAATTTTTTTTAACAAGATAAATATCAACTTGGTAACATAAGTATAACTCTAGATATCATATTTAAACCACTTAAGGTCATGAAAGCTTAATATAAGAAAACAAATTTGTGTTATAATGGTGGGTTGTTTTATCTTTTAAGTACTTAATATTGTGAATGGTTTGAGAGACTCGTATCAGTAGTTATAAAAGAGAAAGTGTGAGAGGGATCATATATGGATGAGTTATTAGATTGGTTATAATGAGTATGTGAAATTAGGTTTATGAGATCTTGTGCTTGAGACCTTATGCCATGAGTTATATGCGTAATGTGAGAAATTTTAAGCGGTGGCTTATCATAATAAAGTCTAAGATTGTACTTGGTTATTTGAGAAGTCTAGACAAAATTTTATAGTAGTGTTAAATCCAAGGTTATTTTTTTTTTTTCTCTTTTTCTTATTAAAGTTCACTATAGTATAGTTGTATAAAACTCATGTCATACTTATTATTTTTACGTGATTGATAGAACATATGTTATTCAATAAAAACAGTTTTTTTCTTCATTTCTTTTATGATTTGAATGAATGTTTCTTGTAACAACTTAATCAAATCATTAGTCCATAAAATCACAGCATTGTAACCATCAAAATTCTCAAACGTTTTTAGACTTTCTTTGGTTCAATAGAAGGCTTGGATGAGAATGAGATATCCTTTATATTCAAAAAGATCCATGTGGAAAAATAAATGTGGAGCAAGACAAAGGGACTTTAATAGAAAGTTTAACAAAGACTCTGAAGACAAGAGCCCAACTGTGTGCTGAGTGCAAAACACATGGGCACTTCAAGTCAAAGTCCCAACCTCAAAAAGGACAATAATAAAAGGAGTCACATGACTACATGGAAAGACTTGGACATATCTTCCTCTAATGAAGAATAAGACGCCAAAGAAGAAGCCAACATATGCTTGATGGCAAATACTTCTTTAGAATCAAATCCTAAAGAATATGAGGTAATTTTGTTTCTCATACTTACCAACTTTACTTGAAGCTTATAATGATAACTTGTCCATCTTATTAATCCTTTCTAAAGGGTATAATGATTTGATGAAAAAGTTTTTGAAATTACCAAAAGAGTTTGAGACATTAAAAAATGAAAACTTTTATTAGAAGAGAATGACAAGTAGAAAATTGTTAAGGAGTTGATATTTATAATATTTATTTAGGAAAAAAAAATATTTTTAGTTCCTCTAAATTTTATGAAATTCTATTTTATTTCTTTTAAAATTTCTTGTTCTATTTTAGTTTCCCTAATTTAAAAATGCATTACTTTTAATTCTTAAAGTGGTTTAAATAACACTTAAAAATGGCAATGAAGTGTTATCTATACTACTTTGAAACTAAAAAAATGATGCATTTTTAAATTAGAGGGACTAAAATAGAACAAAATATTTGAAAAGACTAAAATCAAACTTGAGAAATTTTACAGGGACCAAAGATATATTTTATTCTATTATTTATTATCATTATTATTAAAAGATAATAATTTATAATATTTTATTTAAATATTATGATATTAAGTGATAACCATTTAAAATATTTATGAAAATATTAATTTATTAATTATTATTAAAAAAAATATGCATAAATATATTTTTATCTTTGTAAAATCAACATGTTTTGATTTTATCAATCTTTATAATTTTTTTTATATATTTTTATATCTCTAAAATTTAGAATTATTGTAATCATTTTTAAGTATTTGATTGTTCATTAAAGAGTTAAGTGACTATCTTAGTTGTTTATCCACAATCGTTACTAATATCATATTAATGTATGAAACTTTTTAAAAGTTTCATAGGTTTTTAAATTAAATATTCTTTATAAACCTTAAAATCATCGTTGGGATAAAAAATAGTGATCTTAGATTTTAAAGAGATGGAAATAGAAAAAAATTTATGAATACCAAAGCAAAAATTTTCTTATTTTATAAGAATTAAAAATATTTTATAAGAACTAAAAATAATGTTTATAAATTTTAAGAGGATGAAAAATAGAGAATAAAGGAAAGCTCACTTCAAAAGGTAGGAAACCTAGCTAGGGTTCCTAAAAAGTGATGGCTCTCTCTTGGTGACTTTTGGAAGAAACTTGGCAGAATATTTGCTCTCAAATTTCATATATCAAAAGTGATTACAATGTGTGAAGGAGGTAGCTTAAATGGATCCAGAATTAGGGACACTTGGCGCCAATGTGGATGCTTCAGATGTGGCGCTAAGTTTTGAATTCAAATTTTGAATTTTGAATTCAAAACTTAACTCACATGTACAAGTCCGGTTCACATTGATGATAGGTGTTTTTAGGTTTGATTTAGTGTGCATTTAGGGTTGAATTTGAGTCACACATGTTCAGCCAAGGTGGCACCATCCATGTGACTCAAAATGCAACTTAAATGCATGCTAAATTAAACCTAGTTTTGCCTAATTCACTTAAACTAATAATCCTCCTTAAATCTTAATCTAATGACCTAAATACAATGGACAAACATATACAAACATTAGGAAATAATAAAAGAAACAAAATGAGCTCAATATTGGGTACCAAAAGCCCAAAGGCTCATGAAGCCCAAAACTAGGCCCAATAAGCCTATGGCCCAAAAAATGCTATTTTATGTGGTCCAAAATACAAGACCAAAATATGTGAAACCTATACTAATATAATATGTACAAAATATAAGAAAAATGGATTTATCAAGAGATGGCCCATGTGAAGCTCAAATTGGGCCTTCTAGGCCTATCGGGCCCATTGGGCCTTGACTGACCCAAAACTTTATGTCTAGCCAACTCTTCTTGGCTTCTTCAATGTGTCACCCCTTGCCTTCCTAGGCATGATTACATCAAATTTTTTTTAGAGATCCCCTACTAGCTAGCGTGATATCAAATACAATAAGATAATACTTAACTTGACCATATAATAATCACAAAAGTAGTTAAAAATCTTCACATAATATAAGAAACTAGAAATAACATTTTCAATTTTAGAGGGATAATTTTTTTTACAAAGATCAAAATTAAGAATAATTCCTTTTACACATAGCATATTCTTTTTGTTTCATAGATATAATATATGTAATATTTTAAAACTGAGAATATTATTTTAACATAAAAAATAATAAACCTAGAAACATCGTGTGAACCCAAACATATTTAACCTCAAAATAAAATATAATTACATATAATTTACATATACCGGAAACGTAATACTCGCACATTAATAAATGATTATATATAATATCAATATAATAGAATATATTTTAAATATTAATCAACATATATAATATTATATATTATTTGACATTTGCTATTATACCGGAGAATATCAATATTATAACATGTTACTGTAGATGTTGATTTGACATTCAGCTAAAATTAAAAGAAGAATGCGTTTTAGATTATGAACTTTTACATTGGTTATATTTAATATATTGGTATAAAATTTTATATCGTTTCGGTGTTTGATGTAACTTTTTTTTCTTCTTCATTTTATAATATTGGTATTTACAAATTTGTCTTTTAATCCATGTAAAATGTCCGATTTATAGCGATTAATTGCTGTTATTTTGATAATATATATCTCAAGAATATTTCTTCATAATATTCAAAAATTTAGATGAATTACGCTTTCAGTTAGATTAAAATGGCTAACAAAAAATTCAACTAATAAAAAGCAAGATAAACTCGCCAAAAGATGAAGGATGTAAGATCCTAGATGATTAATAGACCAATATTCTTCTCGATTCATTCCATTTTGAAATGTTTCTCTAATGCAAATAAATTTCATGTTTAAAATCCGTTGTGAACTGTATAAAATAAATGTTGATTATAGAAAAGGAGGACCCTAGCTAGATCGAGAAGATAACAAGCTTCGAACAAAGTTACTGTATGCTTAACTAAAAAAGAAAAGAGAAAAAAAAAAAGAAGAAAAAAGATCTCGTTCAAAACATTGTACATTAACAAGTCATGATCCTTAAACAGGCATTTTCCTCAAAAGTTGTCCTTGCAAGAAGCTGAAAAAAACAAAGAAGGAAAATATAAGTAATGATAACATACCAAAAATAAAGTTGTTTGCATCTTTGCGAGAAGTATTATTATTATCACACTTCTCTTAACATATTCTCCCATAATTTAACATATTTTATAATTTTTAATAAAATTTAAAACTTAATAATAATATACGTTTACATAATCAATCACAATTTACGTAAATAGTAAATTTGTTGCCTTTTACAATAAATTTTTGGAATGTGGGTTGAAAAATTTGTGTAATTCTGTCATTTTTCTTTTACATATATAATCTCCACATAACTATTTGCTTTTATATTTTCCTTTCTCCTCTCCCTGTCTTTTCCCTCGGCATGATTAATTGACTCTTTTTCGGGAATACTTTCTAATTTTAAATAGTTTTTTTTTTTCAGTTTTCACCCAGAACATTAAAAAAAAAATATATTTAGTCTGAGAATGAAAATTGAAAAAAAAAAAAAACTACCTCTTTCTTTATGCAAAAACAAAAAAAGAGAATAAAAAATTGGCCTACCTCTTCATGTAATAGTAACAGAAGTCAGCCAAGATGAAGGACTGAACAATCTCTGCGAGAAACCCAGCCAAGAACCAGAAATAGCCACTCCCAGCCATGAATAGAAAGGCCCCTCGAGTTAAATAAATCTAAAAAATATAAATAATAAAACATTATGCATTATTTAATGTGTTCAAAAAGGACACCATGCGTAGGTCTTAATTCTGAAAGACTTAGCAAAATAAGGTGAATACAATATTTATGGAACAAAAGCTAGCAAAATTTAATTACGCCATCCTTCTAGTTTGCAGTGGCCATGGTTCATTATGGGGCTCTTTGAATTAAAATTGACCATAAATCATCATATATATATGTAACAAAAACAAATGAGATATATGTTGACTGATTTAGTTTATATAAGATACATATATGTAAATTTGCATAAGATACACACATTACTATGCCAAACAGTATTTTGAAACTACTTGCAAGATATTCATAACCGTGAAACATTATTTTAAAAAACACATTCAATCCATTTTTTGGAGCATATACTTATCACAAGAATTCCAATGCATTCATAATGTTGGATAATTCTTCAACAATCCCTTAATTCGCAATGAGAACAGTAACAATTATTTTAGAATTCATCCAATTTCAATCAAGTCATATGTATTCTCCCTCATTGTCATAAGGCAAATCCTTAGAAATAAAATCATATGAAATTATATTCTTGCAGACGAATCAATGTTGTATTTTTTATTCAATAATACCAACTATTTTATTCGGGCAATGTATGTTTCTAATTGAAACTTATAATATATATATGAAACAAAACCAAGAAAAAATTGATCTCACCCGAATTATCCAATGAGCCAGTGCAATGATTCTTGAAACACCGAGAGCGAATACATAATACCCTGTAAATGTTTCAATCATCTAGAAACATACGAGAATTATATTACAACATAAACATTAATATTATACTCTAAAAAGGTAACAAAAAAACTTGAACATAGTCTAGATAACCAACCTTTGCGTTCTGCATGAAACGAAGTTGAGGCAATACAGAAATAGATTCCAAATACAAACTGAATGCCCAAACAATTCGAGTTATATTCCAGTTAGCTGTATAAGGATGGATTAGTATCGCAAGGATTGCAACAGGTACCACCTATATATCACACAATTAGTAAGTGTTATTGCTACATTTATTTTTTTCTATGCACATTCATTACCTAATGAAAATCACTATGCCACCATAAGAGGATACAATCAACACAAAATGCTGAAGTGATTATTAATTTATTATCCTTTTGGCTTATATTTGGAGAGATAGCAAGGTACATAAGGATAAAATGACAAAATATTTCACAAAAAAATCAAGTGTGTGTTTGCTTTAGATTATTTAAAAATAATAACAACAGCTAGCATGTTGAAAGAACTGTTGAAAAGAAAGCAATTATTACTCCAGAAATAATGATTTTCAAACTATATTACTCTCCCTATTTTATTTTAGGGTTTAATATGTGTTTATATTGGTGTATTTTATTTCATGCATGCTAATTTGAGTATTTTTGAGTTGTTGACTTTTATTGTCATAAGCTAGCTAGTCTTGCTCTTACATAAGCTCACTCATAGTTGCACACGAGTTTGTGTTTCAAAAGTTATTTTGCATAAGTGTTCTAAAGGGGGAGTTGATCCATCCCAACTTCTCAAATCTCCCTTTGCCAACATTTTTGATCTACATAAATAAAACTTCGAATTTCTAAGTAAATGCAACATATTCAAATTAGGCATACCATATATTCATTGAATGCAAACAAGCAGGGCTTCAAATAATGCTGTAAAGTAACACAACAAAGTGCACAGTAAACTATATATTACCAAAAAGTATAGTCGCTTATTGTCAAGCTCCTTGATATAGGATGACTTTAACCTGAATCTTATCATCCATATGACCAATAATGTTGAAAGAAAAGATATCAAATCTAGCAATGTGTGGATGTTACCCAATGTCAAGTTGCTACAACTTAATCTTGCAGCTAGGTATATAGCTGTGAGTTCTTGGGTTATGAGAGATAAACCTGAAAATGGGATTAGAAACTTGTTATTTTTAATAGAATTTATTTTAAATTTTAAAGTTAGAACATATCAATACACAAATGTAGGAACTTATGATTTTTTTATGTTTTAATAACTTTTAATCAATAATAAAAAAAATGTATTTCATGAATCATTCTAGTAATAAAAGATTTAACTTATATATACATAATGTTTTTAAGTTTTATCCTTATTATTACCATCATTATAAAATAAAATAAAGGGTGTCATTTAACAAGCTTTATGAAAGACTATAATCAACTAGCATGATTTCATACCAATCAACCTTTACCTAGCTCCCGACAAGCCGTACTAACAGTTTATAAAAAATATGGGTAAAGAAAACAACTTTGTTAGCATTATATATATGCTGATAAAATCATAACAGAATCAACTAGACTTTTGATATAGGTTTAACTGGATGAACAGAATAGTCGGCAAGAAGACACCATAAAAACAAATCACACGCACAATATATATTTAAAATCCCATAAAAACCAACAATTTGTGAACAAAAATCATGTTGATTTTTCATTTTCAATTAACCAGATAATATGTTCATAGGTAGATTAGTCGAATTGGTCAAGATGGTAATGTACAAATCCCTTTCCGGCCAAGTTTCCAACTATAAATTTAAATTTAATTCTAACTGTTTCATTTTCTACGAACACAACCTCCTGAGTATTGATGAAAACCATTCTTCATATATCTCTATACCGATCCTTTATACCTTAGATTACTAACACACATTATTCTAAATTGCATAATATATATATATTGCTGTTGGGTAGCTGGTACCCGCAACCGCTCTTAA